TTTATTTTATTTGATAATGTAATAAAAGAGAACCAATCCATATCTAATCTTTTTAGCTTTGTTGGATACCTTTGACAGGAGGGATTTTGTCCCATCAGGATGCATTTTTTCCATACAACATGAATAACAGATTTAGCTTTTGTTCTTGGAATAAAACACTAAAACTTCTCAGGAGGACTGGGGGTGAGCAAAGCACTGTAATTGTTTACAATGCCTCAAGCATAGTTATAAAATGATGCTTTGTTCTATCCCAACTGAGGAACTCAAGTAATCTTGCTAAAAACTGGCTTTAGGATGGAGAGACCAGGCAGATCTGATTCCTAGTAGAACAAATCACTGTCTGTCCTTTGGAGAGTTTAGTGCAGGAAGCAACAGGTTGTGCAAACTCTCAGTTTAAAGACTATTTCTTACACATGTCTATACTCAATTGAGATCATGAGAAGGTTGAAGAACAAGTTGATTTCTTATCTCTGTCTTTGCTTGCTGCTGACTCTAAAATTATTCTGAAGCTATATAGATCACCTAAAGGTAACATGACCCATTTCATCCATCCTGGGAATCATCACAAGTAGGTAGCCAGATAGCAATAGCCATAGCACTTAGACTTACAGTATATACCACTTCACAGGGCTTTACAATCAGGGGTGGGATTCTACCAGTTGGCACCTATTCGCTAGAACCAGTTGTTAACATTCTAAGCAGTTCAGAGAACTGGTTGTTAGAAGAAATTACTGGCCTAATCCTGTAAGGAAGGCAGGAAGGAAACATTCTGGTGTTGCTTACAGAAACTGCCTCTCCGTTAACCCTTATTACATTCTTGGCAGGACTAGACTTCCTGTCTCAGGAACGTCTCTGGAATTTTTTCCCCTCCTTTGCTGGTACTTTGCTTGTGTGGAGTGACCATTCAAAGTTCAATAACATGAACACCAAGTCACATCCACCCAGTCACATGAACACCAAGCCATGCCCACCACCTAAGCCATGCCCATAGAACCGGTTGTTAAAATTTTTGAATCCCACCCATTTACAACCCTAAGTAGTTTACAGAGTCAGCATATTGCCCCCAACAATCTGGGTCCTCATTTTACCCACTTCGGAAAGATGGAAGGCTGAGTCAACCGAACTGGCTTGAGCCTGCCAAACAGCTGGCAATCGGCAGTTAGCAGAATTAACTTGCAATATTTCATTTTAACCACTGCTCCACCATGCCTCTTTGGAGTTCACATCTACATTATTAGATGTATTGATAGTATTTCAGCAATAATCTTTCCCTTAAAGTAGCCTGTCTGTATTTATATGCATTCTGACTCTTTTGGCAAGGGGAATGAATTATACCTCCACTTTGTAATTATGCAATTATTTGGAGATCCAATATCCTCCTTTTGAAGCTTACTTGATAGCGTGCTTTCTTATTAAGTTTGCAAATATGTCCTAAAATTGGACATATACATTATTTCTAATTTAATATCTCTTAAGATCTGGAATCTTTCTGGAATCACTAAATTATAGTTTTAATGATTTAATTCTTATAAATATGAGGAACAAATACTTCCACAAGTATTTGGAAATCCTACAAAACCGAGACATTAGTCAAACATGTTAATGATTAACTAAATTAAATGGCCCATCTTAATAAATTATGGGCTGTGACCTTCTATCACAACACTCTTCTGTCACCCTAACCTAGAGAGAAGATCAGATGATTTTTTTTGTGTGTGAAAAGTTGTCCCTAAGCATCTACTAAAGTACAGTCATATATAATAACTTGTGTGCCTTTTCTGGGACCAGGTAAGTTACTAAAATGATGTGAATTTAAGTTTAAAAAATGTGTTTTTGTATTTTCTTTTGCATAAGATAAAAGGGGAAAGGGAGATTTTCATTTAAGTATCAGAATAACTTTTCTTTTTGTTTTGCTTTTTGATATCAGAAGGTAAAAATAAGAGCCTTTTGAAAAAAAATAATGTTCATTTCAATTTTAGATTAAATACTGGAGGTCTATTCACATTCTCTACTAAAATCTTCTCTAAAATCATAACAGAAAAAATGAACACAACTTAAAAATTAAACTTAGCTGAATTTCATGCAATTTTTATTTATATTAGGGTATACTTAGCTGTATCCAAAGAGGAGCTGTTTCAGCTTATAGAAAGTAGGTTGATCCTTACTCATTGTGTGCTATCCAAAAACATTTCTGAGGATTGAGAGATCTTGTACAGTATAAGCTACGATTCAAAAAAGCTGCAACAGAAGAGAAACCAAAGTTGACTGCTTCATAGATCTGTTGACACGCATTTAAAACCAGGGTGTTCTTAGCAGTAGTGAATTTGGATATCATGAGCTGAGAACAGCAGGTCTGTGATTTGAGGTCCTCCTGGATTTGTAAGTTCTATAGAGCAGCAGATGCAGGCCATGGCCAGAGAGCTCTTTGCCAAGACTTGATTGGTGATGCCAATTCTAAGTTTTTTTGGGAGTGAAAAGTTGTTATGACAATACCTCATGCCCTCTTCACCTTACAATTCAGTTACTGAGATTCCCTATATTTAGGGCTGCCTTTGAAGATAACTCAGAAGCCAAAGTTGGCTCAAATATAGCATAATAAGTTCAACTCCCAAGAATTGTCAGGATCACTTTTTTCAACCAGTGTTGATCCCCTCCCGAGGTTTTATTTCTTCTGCATAACACAACTAAACTACAACCGTCACTTGATTTTGTCACTTCTCCATCTGTCACCCAATTGCCATTCTCTTGTACTATCGTATCGTTTGGCCTTCAGTTATCCTTGTTTTTCTTTTCAGGCCTCAGTATCCTTTAATTCTACTTAAGAACACATAGATTTTCAATGTTCTTACAATGTAAATCTTAATGTCAAGGCTTACTTTTGTTATGATTACATGCTGAATGGGGAGTGTTGGGTATAAATAAATGAATTAAATAAATACCACAATTTCTAATAATTGGGTCTAGTAAGGTATTTTATATGCTTGACATCTGAAAATTTCCTCTCTAGATCTATAGTTGAGGTAAAGAGAAAAACAAGGTTGAATTTTAAATTCTAACTTTAAGCAGAATATATAATATTTGTAGTGTAACTTGTTTTGTTAATTTAATAGCCTCTAAACCAGAAATCATGGCAAGATAGTATTAGCACTATCTACACATGTATATGTGTGTGTAAGCGCACACATGTGCACAGATAACATGAGTGCTAGTGTGGTGTAGTAGTGAAAAGCTAAAAGTCAGAAGACTGTGAGTTCTGGTTTTGCCTTAGGCACAAAGCCAGCTGGGTGACTGTGGGCCAGCCACCATATCTCAGCCCTAGAAAGGAAGCAGTGGCAAGCCACTTCCAAAAATCTTGCCAAGAAAACTTCAGGATTAGTTTAGGTAGTCATCAGAAATCAAGACTGACTCAAAAGCATTTGTATGGAGACAGTGTCAAGGTCAACTCGCTGACTTAGTCTTTGAGGGAGAAATGGAGAGATTTTTCAAGTGGCATGCAAATGCCTCAATGAATCATTAACTCTGTGAAATACCAATTTCTTTTTATAACTCATCTGGGATGCTGGACTTAGCTCAAAATAAACAGAGGACAGCTCTGATGCTTTTTTAAAACTAGCAGTCACTTAAAACTACAAGTGGGGTCTCGGGTCAAAGATAAGGAAGTAAGGGTTTTTTGACCCTATCTGCCTGCTGATCGGGAACTGTAAATGTCCACAAACCTTGTGTTATGCTGCTTAAAAAGAACACTCCAGATTCTGTTTGGATTATACAGTTAAAAGAGCAAACTGTCTCCAACAATATATCAGGTTAGTTAACCAATGATGGATTCTAACAAGTTATTCCTTCAGTCTGGAAATAGCTCTAAATGAAAAAAAAATGTTTCTAATATAGTCATTTCTGGTTAATTATATGAACTATTAAAAGAATAGAAATCAAGATAGAGATTTGTCTAATCCAAGATTGTAGAATTTATTATAATTCTAAAATTATAATTAATTTAAATAGTGAAATCAGTGATGTTTAAATTTGATAAAATAAACAAATGACTTTAGTCAACATGTTTTTTTTATTTCAGTGAGAATAAAATAAGTTATACACTACTAAGTTCTGAAAAAAATATTTAGAAATATACTCTTGCTATCGACTCATATATATATACATACATACATACAGGGAGTAATTATATTCCCTACAGTCAGTTAACTAAATGTAAATGTAACGATTAAATTAATATATTTGCATGCATGGATATTTTTTTATAATTCTGAAGCTGCCAACTTGCTCTTTTCTTAGGATGAGTTCCCCTCCCACCAATGTGGTTTTGGTGTCAAAATTGTGCCTGGTATTTGACCTGTAAAAGAGTAAATTTCTGAAGATACAGGATCACAGCCTGAGATATTTAAGTATTTAGGGTGAAATTTCTTTTAACCTCAGCAGTTGAGCAAATGTGAGAACCTTATGCCTCACTGAACTGGTATAGGATTCTCTATAGACTTCAGAATATGGGAAAGCGCCAAGCACAAGAATATATATGTACAGTCATCCTTGGATTGGAGTGAATGGGATAATGCATAGCCTAATTAGTTCTACCCACCTAATAACTGAAACAAAAGAAGTTATACACTGAAGATTATCAAATTACCAGTTAAACTTCAGCACCTGCATTGAAAATGCCTACAACAATTGAAAAGGTGTATGTGAAATGCAAATGTTTTGAAGAAAAATTATCCTTGGGAAGGAGGAGATGAGATGATTTTATGACTGAAGAATAGTCTATGGAAACATGGAAGAGCATGCTATTATATAAATATTCATTGTGCTTATTTGAACTACATACCTATCTAACAAAATGTCTTATCAACAACCTATTTTATCAAAATTATATCAAGTCTTATTTTATAGAGATCTGAACTTAAAGACAAGAAATGAGTTCTTTGGAAAAGAATTGTGTTCCTTCATCCTCCAAAATAGTAAGTTTACAACATTTCTTAAGCTACATAATACAAAAGCCAAAAGTTGTGTGCAAAAATCATAGGTATCAGGAAAGTTTTCAAACTTCTGATTATTTATCCTCCAGAAGAATTGAATATCCCGGAACCCAGAATTTTGTGGCAGCTTAATTAGAAACATATGGTTCCTGTTTTGGTAAGAGATGAAACTTCAAAAACAAGAAGTAGGATTACTTTTCCAAACAGAGGCTTGATATATGATATGCTGAATTTATAAAAACAGAATGACTCCATTAATCAAGTTTTCATGTATTAAAGGGATTGCCTTTAATACACTACTCTGCTTCTTTCCCATCCTACAACTTTTTTTTTAAAAAAAATGAGTGCTTACATAAGCGTTTTCAAAGGAAACCCACAATCATAAATCAACTACTATGGCAGATTCAGAAATATATAAAACTAGTAAGCATTCTATTAAGCATTGAACTATTTTTTCAGAGTAATCTGGAATTAACTGGAATATCTTTAAACAGTATTTTCCCCCTCTTAGGAACGTCTTCGGCAGTGGCAGCAATCCTATCCCAGTGATTTGAGCTGTCCTATCTGTCTCCAAACCGCTAATTTCCCTGTAGAAACCAACTGTGGACATTTCTTTTGTGGCAAGTTAACTGGGCTTTTTGCTCATACATTTTATTTTGCAAGACTACAGTAACCTTAACATGAAATTATAGAATCAAACTGTAGAGAACATTTATATTTTGTGAAACAAATGTCCTTTTGTGGATGGCACTATGCAAAAGACAGCTGATAAGGGCCAGTTTCCATGAAATAAATCAACATAATATTCATTGATCTATCTCTGAATATATTTACACTACCATGTGTGAACTAACCTTGCTATCTATTGTAAAAATGTATACATCCATCACTATTTTTATTATGAAAAAAATAAATGAAGCAGCACTTTTACTTCACCTATTGTATAGTACCACAGACATATTACAAAGTTTTGCAATGTTCAGGAAGTTTTGTGGACAATTAAACAAGGAAATTTATACTTTTGAGACCAAGAGTACTGTACTTATTTAATATTTCCATTTGAGTCTCTGAGCTGGCAAAAGGCCAACAGAAATAACTATATCAAACAGAACAAAAACAATTGGCAGTCAAAGCTTTAAACTAATTTAAATAGCAAAAATATGAACATTGTTGCCTTGAGAATTAAGTAAATTTAAAAACTACCTCCTACCATCTGAAAAAATGGCACAAAAACAAATTAGAAGTATTTCAAATCTATTTTTTTTAACTAAAAACACTAGAATTTATGCACACTTTAATATCTCTTCTTCACAATACTACATCATGCAATCTTACAGTGTTCAAAAGACGTTGTTGTTTTTCTTTTCTTAAGAAATTTTTTCCATCATGTAGAAAGAGATTTGTAGGTTTAGGCTTAGTAATATTTTGAAAAATTGCATGCACATTTTTGCCAACTGAAGACGAAGATACTTCATCTTTATCACCACTATATATGACACAGAGACCTGTGGTGTCTGGCAACATTAAAATGTAATAGTAGCAAATTACCAAGTAACTTGTAATTTTATTCTAGCAGAGTGGTGCATCTATTTTGATACAGAAAGTAGATATATAAAGGTTTATAAAGATTAATTTATAAAATGTGTATGGCTATTGACAAACAAATATTCGCTGCGTGGCTTATAGTTCTCAGATAATTAAAACAAAATGTTCAGAAGTATTTTTTAAAGCAGTTATTAAAAACAGTGAACACACAACATAAACATCCCATTTGTGATCAAGGACAGCATAGAACAACCATAGAACAATGCTTTTAAAAATGTATCCCCAAAGAGCAGTGTAGAAGGTAGGATTGTTGTTAAGATTTTTCATAGCAGAAATTGTTCCCAAAAAGTTTATACCACGGGGCATATGAAGAGAAATAGTAGCATGCCTAATGCAGCAAAATAGTAGTATTGATGACAGATATTTTTCTGATATAGGGCACTGCTCCAATAATGTGACCCTTTCATTTTTGCACATCATTCTACAAGCATTTAAGATCAGGATTATCAGCAGTGCAATATATCAAATTATAGAGTTATTAGAATAAACCTGTTCCTCCAGAATGATTGTAATACAAATAACATTCTGATATGGATTAGTAAGGAATTTAACGTATGGAATAAGACCTCACATTTATAATTATATTAAAATGTAATTCTCATTTTCCCACTGCCTTTGGTATCCACTTCCCTTTGTTATATAGGATAGACCATATAAAGGCAACATATTTAATTTAGCCATATTGCAACACATGTATATTAAAAATATCTGGCTATCAAAGCCAGAAGTGGAACTGATATAATCTGACTTTCTGCTATAAAACAAGAGCATTCATGCAGTTAACCACACCCACACAGGAATCCCTTCCTGATCTTTTTACTTTGTTCTAATAGTAGATGCTCCAAGTAGGGAGTAAAAGTTATAAAATGCATAAACCATTTTATTTCAATCCTCCCAAAATACAAGCTTGAAGAATATACAAATAGTTCAAATTAACCAACACATCCACACAATGATCGATAACAATGAACAAACTTCCCAATGAATTTTTATAATTTTCTCCCTGCATCCACTTTCATACAATTTTAAGACGGAAAGTACAAACAGGCTTTGGACTAGCTAAATTTCACTCTGTACATTTAATTATATTTGGCATTAAAAGGTGCAAGTATAACTACTGAAAATGTATTATCTTTTAAGTTTTAAAAGATTCATCTCTTTAAGTTTTAACTGCTTATAGAGCATGATTTTTTTTTTAAAAAAAGATTGTTCTTTTGTATTATTGTTACAAATTGCTACACATTTTCCAAAAGTCTCACATTTCAACTGAATTTCAAACCACATATCCAGGAAATGGCATAGAACACTAATATTGGGCCAATATTATTTTTAATTATACTAACTATATTTCTTGTGGGGGCCTAAAAAAAAAGAACTGCAACAAACATGATTGAAAGATCTGATGTCATTTTGAAATGTCTGAATCCACAAATACCCTGGCTTGAAAAAGGTTGCTTTTCCAGCCTTCAAATCTGCTTTTCTGTTCTAAATATGTCAACACAAGAAACAAATGCAAAACTTGAGTATTAAGTTTTCAAGCAATGTTTAATTCCTTTTTACAAATGTGCAAATGGATATCCATTTAATTACTGGCTCATGTAGAATTAAAATTTCAGTGTATAGTATTGTACAGTATACCTCACTTTGAGTTTTTGTTGCCTTCTTGAACAAAGTAACCACTCCTTGCTAGATTATGTAATATAGAAATCAGTTTTCAGTGTAAACAGCTATCAAGTTGGCTGCAGTGTTTTACCTCTACACAACTTTTTGGTTTACAATGTCATGTCTTCCTTTCCCAGGTTACTGTCTAATTCAATACTGGAAACATGGGTCTTGGCTGAGTGCAATCAACTGTCCACTTTGCAGGCAAAAAGTAAGAGTTTCCATTGTTTCTTTGAAGTTACAAAAGAAGGCAGAAAAATGCCAAGAATAACCCTCTCATATTTCAGGTTTTCATTCCTTAATATAGGTATCAGCATTTCTAATTTCATGCTTATCAGATCAAAGAACTATCACTGATTAAACAGTGTACCTGCAATAGGCTTTGATTTTTTTTTAAAAAAAATTAAAACGTTTGATTGCCTTCAAGGAACCATTTTAGTGTAATGGTAAAAGTGCTGGCCTAGAATCCAGGAGACTGTGAGTTCTGGTTCTACCTTAGGTAGGAAAACCAGCTACGTGACTTTGGGCCAGTCTGTCTCAACCCAGCTCACTTCACAGGGTTGTTGTTGTGAGAAAGGACCATTGTGTATGTTCGGCTATTTATAAAAATAAAGTCAGGATAAAAATCTAACAAATAAGTTCATTATTTCTTCTTATACTCCAGGGGTCCACAATCCCTAGCTATGGCCTGGTACCGGGCCGCAGCCTGTTAGGAACTGGGTGGTGCAAGTGGGCAAATGGATGAGCACGCAAAACTCCCTTTGTGCAAGGTGTGGGCTGGCGTGCTTGCGCGCAAAGTTCAATTTGCATTGAACCATCCTCTGTCCCCTCCCCACACCGCCACTGCTGCTACCGCTGGTTCCCAGAATTGGAATGATTGACTGCTGTTATAATCTACTGAGCTTCACCTGCTGCTTATGGAGCAAAATGCACAATGTAAAAAAGCAAGCTTGCTATAGAAGACATTAACCTCAAAGGGTAAAGCATATTACCCAGAAGCTCCAAGAAATAGCAATCATGAAATAGCATCAGGACTCTTGCTCTGGAGTCCAGTTGGCTAAAGAATGATGGCAGATGGGGACCAGGATAGCCTTTTCTGCTGATCAGCAAAGCCTTCAGAACATCATTTCCTCTTAGGTTAGATTAGCTCCAATCCTGCTGGACTTTCACGTGGTCCTGAAAACCTGGTTTTGAACCCGAGTCGGGGGACTGGGTGTGTGATAGAGCCCATATCCAGGTTATGTTGATAGTTGTTTTATAAATGCTTAGTGGCTACATGTTTTCATTTTTATATAGTATGCATTTATTATTTTATTATAAGCCATATAGAATCATGTAGTGTGAAATGGTGGCTATGTAAATCCATATAATTAATTAATTAGGTCTTTCTGTCTACCGGAAGACAAACCTATGTCTTTGTTCTAAACATCTTGGGTTTTTTTATTGCAAGGTTGTTTTTTTGTACACCTGTTCTGAAAACCAGCCTGACAAGAAAAGCAAGCAAACTTTCTATGACATCAGAATTTACAACAAACGCTTCTCAGGACTCCCTCAGTCTGTAAGTTTTTTCCACATCAAGAAAATTGGTCCCATTAAGTTGAATTACCTTGACAAGATTCCATGAGTGAAGTGGTATGGCTATTCTTCTAAGGAGAAGTTAGATTACAGATTTCTTTTAATGGGGCATTATGGTGGCTGTCATGCCAAAAGAAAACAATCTTTTGGGGTGACCCCAAGTTAGGAAGATGAAAGAGAGCTGACTAGTTATTTATTCCACTTTGTTCAGTTTTATTCTATGGAGTTCAGCAATGGGCAAATCCCCAGTTATAAAATTCCTTCCCCTAAAATCAGAATTAAAATTAATAAAGTAGTAGATTCCTAACTTACCCCATCTCTGTGCTTAGTTTATAGATCATCTTTATGACATGCCACTTCTTCTCCTTGTTATCCTAAGAGGAATCTTCACTCTAACTGCCCTTGTGTGGATCTTTCTCTTCAGAGTTGTCATCTGTTTTTTTGGAACCATCATGTGCTCAACCTGCCCACCTGAAGGGATGCCTGAACCTCTCTGTGGAATATTGCAGACAGCTGATAACTTAGCTGTCATGCTCTTACTTTTGATTAGCTTTATAAACATTTGCCCTCAAATGGAATCAGAAGGTGCAAATAGGACGATCTCTAGGGAATAAAACATTACCTTGGCATCATAAGAGAGGGAACTGCATTGTCTCTGAAAGGTCAAAATTAACCAAAATTTACATTTATAATGGACTGATAGTGGACTTAGTTTTAAAAAGTGGTTAAAAATGATAAAGAATATATTGGCTGGATGCTGTTATGCTAATAAAGGACTGAAAACCCAGTGAGGTCTCTGAGTCTTTAAAAAGGCATTGCTGTTGTTTTAAGAATACATTTTAGGGTATCTTGGGGACGACTGAATAATTGATATATCCCTGATTAGGACATTGATGCTGGTAGTTAGAAGCAGGCACAGGAATTAGGAAGCAGAAGGTACTGAGAAAATGAGGAAGTGGCAGTACTAGATAAAGTTTATCTAAGTCTAGATGTTAATAGAGTAGAGTTGAGTAGAGTAGAGTACTACAGAACAGAATAATAAAATAGAGTTGGAAGGGACCTTGGAGGTCTTCTAGTCTAACCCCCTGCTCAGGCAGGAAATCCTATACTGCTTCAGACAAATGGTTGTCTAATCTCTTCTTAAAAACTTCCAGTATTGGAGCATTCACAACTTCTGGAGGCAAGTTGTTCCACTGATTGATTATTGTAACTTTCAGGAAATTTCTCCTTAGTTTTCATACGAATCGTAGGATTATGTGAATACAGTATAAATAAAATAAAGAGATTGTTAATGAAAAACACATGCTTCACATGTTACCAGTACAAACATTTTATGTTAAGATTCTTGTAGAACCACCTCATAACACAAGCTTTTATACATTAGTTATGCTTAAAATGATATTTATCTAAATACAATATGTATATACATCTATGCATATACATGTATTCTTACAATGTTCTGAGAGTTGCATTATTTCTTTTTATACCCATATTTATGTAAAAATTATTTCAGAAAAATTACATAGTTAGTCCTCAACTTATGACCACAATTGAGGCCAAAGTTTTTGTTGCTAAGTGAGATATTTGCTAACCGAGCTTTGCTCCATTTACGACTTTTCTTGCTAAAGTTGTTGAATGAATCACTGCAGTTGTTAAGTTAGTAACATGGTTGTTAAGTGAATCTGTCTTCCCATTGACGTTAGTTGTTAGAAGGTAACCCATAGGTCAGGGATGTCAAACTAGGGGCCCGCTGGCCTGATGCATCATGTGGAGGCCACGCCCCTCCCAGCTCTGTGAAGGGAAACAATGTTGCTAAACGTCACATGACAGCAGCGTGATACCATGAGTTTGACACTTGTGCCATAGGTGATCACATGACACCGGGACACTGAAACCATCATAAATTTGAGTCAGTTGCCAAGCAATTGAAGCTTGATCATGGGGATACAATGGTTGTAAATGTGAAAGACGGTCATAAATCACTTTTTTCAATGCCATTGTAACTTTGAACAGTCACTAAATGGACTGTTGTAAATTGAGGACTATCTGTAATCCTAGAAAACCCAAGCAAGAAAGGCTAGTTTTGAGAAATAGTGTTTACAAGGAAACATAAAATAGTTGGATAACTCTCAAGCAGTCATTATCTATTTTTCTTTTTCATCAGCCAATTCTGATGGAATTTTACTTTATTTTATCCCAAGCTGGTGCTATAAATTGAATATTCTGAAATACATTTTGAATTGTTCAGTGTATTTGAAACAACTGTAAGATATTATAGCAATAGAATCTAGACTTACATACTGCTTCACAGTGCTTTACAGCCCACTCCAATACTGCTCCCAACAATCTGAGTCCTCATTTTACCCGCCTCAGAAGGATGGAAGGCTGAGACAACCTTGAGACTGGTGAGATTCAAACTGTCAAATTGCAGGTAGCCGGCAGGCAGCAGAAATAGCCTGCAGTACTGTACTCTAACCACTTTGCCACCACGGCTCTTATCCAAATACTGAATCATTTTTTTGTGGTAGGGGATTGAAAAAAAACAAGGTTAACAGATAATAAACAAGAAACACATTATCTAGGTAACAAGAAACTTAGGAGATTATGAGCTGGAACAGAGAATTTATCTGATGTTTTTCTAAATTTTTATTTTTATCTCATAGAGCTTTGAATAATTGAGCAAGTTTCAGATTAAACTGATCAGTTAAAATAACTGAATTGAGATAGTAGAAAAATGTATAAATGATCTTTATTAATTTGGATAAGAACAATCTGCAATACTAGAGCCACAACGATCACCTTGAACAAACTATGCATTTATTAAACCCAGAAATCAAGGACATGAGAAAGAAACTCAAACGGATTCTGCCTTAACTCCCTGAAAGATGGATAGGAAAACACAACCAGATTTTTAACATTTTGTTACTCTAGCAAAAAGCAAGCTCCTCCAACATTCTTGTATAACAAGAGTCCAACAATCTGTTTTCTGACTTAGTCTACATTGAAGGGCTGGCAAATGAGTTTTAAGATACATTTAAAAGTACACTGATAATGAATTGAAAAAAATATGGTGAAAAATTATATCTATTCTCTTCTGCAGCAATTTATTCTACAAAGTTCATTAAGAGTACGTCTTCTTAATTTTTGGCTCTCATATTGTCACATTATGACTCTTGATTTTGTTACTGGAAACAACAATAAGCAACAAGAATGAAATCTTTCTCCAATTTAGTTTTTGACATTAAATAGAAAGCTTGACCAATGAAGGTACATTTACTGTATAATTATGACATTCTCTCTCCCAAGCTTCAATTTATTTTATTTTCACGTAAATTTACAAATTTTAAAAAGTATGCATTTTGCATATTTTATTGATATATTTTATACACTTTTGCCTAATACACATATTTTTTGCAAGCTTTTTAACAGATTATGCAATTATGAAAAAATTGAATGCTGAATGGTAGTTGCAGTTCTGGTTAAGACACTGATTCAAGAAAAGTAGATTTGACAAGTTTGTACCATGATATCACTTTAATAAAATACATCTCTGTTCATATTCAACAGGATATAAAGTATTTTTTTAATTTTACTATAATGTTTCTCATTAATGTATATAGCTAATCAAGAAAGTCAAAGAAATCAGTCAGACCTCTAATATGCTGTCTATGCATTCAGCATGATGGATTTATATTTTCTTTGATCTTCCACAAGTTTTAGAAACACTTGGTATTTCTTGTCATAAAATCTATGGAAAAAGCATAAAGCCCAACAAGTTAAAGGACTTGACAATATTTATAATCAAGAAGAATGCAATAGGCCTCTTCTTTGCTAAACTCAGTTAAACAATACCTACTGATCAGCACAATATTGCTGTGATGTTGTTCTGATTCAGTTACCATATTTTTTCTGTCTATAAGACCCTTCCATATATAGGATGCCCCCCCCCCCATTTTTCTTACCCAACATTCAGAAATAAATATTTTAAACATTAAATAGAAGATATTTATTTTGCAGAGTAAGACATTCGCTTACCGGTAGCGGTATTTATTTTTTTTGTTTTCTGACATTTTTATGGGCTCAGAACACTCCAACATTACCACACCCTGTCACATCTGGGCACTGGCTACACCCTCTCTACAGCATCAGCTGATGTCAGTTACATAAGGCTCACGATTGGAGGAAACCTGTGAGCTTGTCTCTGCAATATGAAGTTTTGCTCCTGAGGCTAGTTTGCAGAGATAAGGTATCGGCAGTTTCACAACCATGGTTCTCTTCTCAGCTCCCCCCATGTATAAGATGCTCCTCCATTTTTAGGTAAATATTTTTAAGAAAAAGTATCTTACACAGAGAAAAATACAGTAAATAGGGACTCTCTGCCTGAAGTTTTTGGCAAATTGCAATAATGAAACACCAAAAAATACCCTTGAATTTCCTTAGAGGAGACCTTGGTAATATGTACAAATCCATTTTATTTCCTACTTCAGACTATAAAAAGGTGAGAGAAGGATTTTAGCAACTGTTGGACAGGAGAAATGCAAAGGAATATGAAACTTGTCACATTAATTGAGGCACTACAGCAAAATTCTGCGCTCCCCCACACTTCCTGAAACCATGTAAAATTCTATAGAACATTAGATAAAGTAATGTAAAAGGAGGCTGCCAGGAATTTTGTAGTTGTTATCACAGATAAGTTGTTTCAGCTGTCATTGTATTTATTTAGACAGTGTGAGGGACAATGTCTGAAGTATACCCATTGTCATTCTTTAGCAAGCAAATATTTGTTTTTTTTGTGTTACAATGTTATACAATGTTCCTTTGTCCTATCAAGCCCTTGAGTTTGGACCCCACCATGGTCAATGTAAACACAGAGATGGAACTTGGCTCCACAATTACAATGCTATCTTGACTTTTGAAACTCCACCCTCCACCCACTGCTAATGCCCCTGATTCAAGATGTCTGATTGTAAACCAGAAAAAGGGTCACATTCCTCTAACAAACTACTAAGGTATACAGTCTTATATAATTATGAAGTATAAATGTAACATGCGGGGTTCCATGTTCATTTCAATGGTTCTAATACTTAGGCTCTTACTACTAAAGTCACACACACAGTATTCTGTTATGAGTGATAGACCGAAGTGAGCTAGGAATTGGTCAATCAGGGGACTGAAGTATAATTGAACTACTTAAAAGCTAGGTCATAAATTCTACGACTTTACAGAGCAGGTAGATAAATCCTCTTGCATTTGCTGGCTAGTGATATTTCACTATCTGCAGTTATTGGGGTTAACAACCCCAAATATCACCAGGATTGTTTTCTTGCAGGTTATCATATTTCCAGAGAGTATCTGATGTGTTTTAAGAATTCTTATTTCAAAACAGCAGCCAGTATAGTTCATATCAAATATCCATTGCATTCAGTAGGAAACTTAATCCAAATGCATTAGAGAGGCTGTGCCACTTTCTAAAAATAGAAGCATGTGCTGGGACCAATGTGTAAACAAGGGAAGAATCTTTGGCCATTTCAAAACCAGAGAGTATTGGTTCAAATAATCTAATCTAGGCCCATCCCTTTGTGACCTTTTATTTCCTCATGGCTAATGACCTAGCTCCTTTTGATTTCCCAACTACAAAAGAAAAAATTGTCAGGGTGTCCTGACTGGTAGGAGATTTAAAGCAACAGGAATCTGAATGAATCACAGTATTGGAATTCTCCATGTGTTGAAAAGATGTTTCACTGTCACTTTTTCCGAGTCATCTTAAATCTAGATTCATTTTGCCAGAGTTCATTTTGTGTTCATGTTTTTAACCTGTATACAGATTAAAGCCTTCACTGCAAAGTAAAAGTAGGAGAATTCTCCATAGACTTTATATGTAAAACTTTCAGTGAACCTGCAGATGGCACCAACGCACTTCTTCAGTTCACTTCAAGTTTCCCTACTGCTTAATATTTGAAGACTTTCTTTGAGCCTAAAATAAATTTACTTAAGAAACTTCATGAAAGGAATGTTCTCTCAGTGTGTTCTGCCATCTTGTTGGAGGCTAGTTCAATCCTCTGCTTTATTTGTAAGCTGAAAGCAAGAAATATTCTGCGCTCCTAGGGAAGTTTTGAAATTTTGAACCACGCATCTTTCATCCTCCCACTACTGAATATATAAACGCAGAGGGGTCTCAGCTCAAAAATACTGTATTAAGTTCTTATTTTGAAAATATTGTTGTGAATTTATTCTTGTTGTGAATTTATAGTGTTTAGGAGTCCTAAGTGGGAATCCAAATTTATTTCTTGGGATAGTTTTTCCCCCTAGGCAAAAACCAAAGAGTTTGTTAAGCCTTGGCCAGGGGAAAGGAGAATCAAGTCTAATCTTAGAAAAACAGAAGAATCCACTGTACCCAGGAAACTAAGCATGTTAAATTAAGAATATACCAACAGAATAACTAGAAAAATCACGGAAAGGAAAGTGTCAGGAATTCTCTTCAGAAGTCTTGGTTTACTAATTTCACAGAGGACAGAAGCTCCAAGCAGTTTTGTAAACACAGCCTGTTAGCATTGCCGAAATGCAGCAGAAACCCAGATCCCTAAAAACTTTTAAGTAGAAATTTTCTATTTTCCCTTCTCTCTGGAAGGAAAAGTGCTATTGAATGCCATCATCCTCGCACTTGTTCTCCCTGGTGAATCAAGGCATTGGCCTCCTGAGTATGTTGAGAGGTTTGTGCCTTATCACCACCTCACCCTGCTTAATGACCTGTGCATTCACTTTACAAGCACAACTGGGAGAGCCAGGATTGAGCAAAGCAGTCATACAGCATCTCATTTAATGACCACTTCAATGAATGAGATTGCAAGGCCAATTATGATCATTAAGTGGGAAGGACTACCTGTGTATCACCTTTTTTCCCTAATTCAGAAAGGACAGTGATTTGAAAAGCAGGGCTTGGCCAGCCAATATTAAATGAAAGTGAAGCAGAGACAAATAACAAAGTTGAGTCATCTTCTTAGCCAGGGAGGGGATTCTCCCGGTTCGGACCGAACCTTGTTCCGATGATCAATCTGAATGAACCGGTTCAATGCGATGAACATGTGGGCCCGCCTGCCTGTCCCTGCTCTTTCCTGTGTTTTATTTCCTTTGTTTAGAGCGGCTTGCCATGTTTCAGCTGTTTTATTCACAGAGGCTGCAGTTGAAGGTAAGTATTAGAGGCTTTTTTGGCGCAGGTGCAGGTGCGTGAACCGATTGATACACCAGTTGAATCGCACCACTACCCTTAGCCCCTCCCTATTACATGTCAGGGCAGGAGCAGAAGAGAGAAAGAAGGAAGATTGGAAGGGGGAGGGTGATGTGTTCACAATAAGCACTTTTTAAAAACTGCACACAGTGAGCATGATCCCCAACATGCCATAATTCATATGGCCCCACATGAATATGGAAATCCCAGCAATATTTTCCAGTGAAAATCAAAAATAGGGAGAGATTTGCAACAGAGGGGGAGTTACTTGCTTACTATTGTCTGTCTTTCTGAATTTGTCTACTTGCTGCAACACAGATATTGTTAAAAGCTGGTGAAATAATCAAAGTGCAACTACAGAGAAGGAGAACCAGCTTTCTTTACTCCATAAAAAGCTCTATTACCACCTCAACAAGTTAGAATGGAGAAATACACATGGGTTTCCTTTGCTGATCACCTGATATATTATTCAGAATAACAGATACCTTGGTTTTACTATCTTTTTAAAAGCATTTTACACATCAGGTTGCAATTTTTGGCCACATGTTACCAAGTTATGTTTTTTTAAAAATGGATGTTTAAGAACAAAGGGATAAAAATTTCCCAGCATAAATAGTTTTATGCAATTTTATAACTCTCTAACAAACAAAACTCACTGAAAAATCCTATTACCTTTTATCCTTGTGATTTGGCAGCACAATCCGGCCAATTTTCTCCATTTTCTCCATAGCATCCTGTTCAAAGATCAACAGAATACAAAGTTGCCTGTTTCAGTTTAACATTCTTGGTAAAAAAAAAAAAAGCCATAGATGTTTCAGAAATTAAACAGACCACTGACGAGCCTAGACAAGAGCATGTGAACTACGGTTTTTCCCACTCTACAATGGCAAACAGACTACTCAAGTAAGCCAAGTATCCTGGAACCATGAAGTAATCTGATTTTTCTTGCCCTATTTTTTAAAAACAAACAAACATAGGAACTAATTTAGAATTTGAATAAAATGTGGAAATTATTAAAAAAATAAAAATAAAGGCATCTATCCATGTGACTTTGATAATTTGAAAAATTAATATTTTTGAAATTTCTTATCTTCAACCAAATTAAAATACATTTGGCCAAATTTCACTGAAAACAGATTTGGGTTAGTTTTGATTAATTCCTTCTGCTGATTTCAGTTCAATACTTATGGACTAATTTGTTGCATGTATACATGAAACTCGGTCCTTTGCTTTTGTTTTTCAAGAGCTGGACTGCTACTATCTTCTGTTAAAGTGCCATGAATCCTCCCTCTGCCAAGTGCATGAGGTAACAGTAGTTTTCAAATATATTCTGTTGTTTTAACAAATTAATATGCAGAAAGCATTGGGAATAAGTGGGCTATATCTCCATCTGCTCCAACCAATACTGACTGTCATCAATGATTATAGAAAATGCAGTCCAAAATCAATTGCAGGGACAGCTTCTTCATGTCTATTGGACATTTTAATAATGAATACATCTCTTTTTCTTATTTACATATTTTCAAGTCACCCAAGTGTCATTTGGGAATGCATCTAATATACATTTCTAAAATAAAACAAAAAGTTACAAAAGAAGTCAAAACAAGAAAAATGGATACTTTTTTCCCACTTCTGAACTGGGCCACAGAAGTGGTGGGTGAGCGTGTGCATGTGCAAAGCTGCATTTGTGAAAGCTGCACATGCTCGCATGCAAAACCATCTCCTCTCTCTCCCTTAACCACTGCTGCTGCTACTACACCCGCTGGTCCAGCGAGATGAAAAGGTTGGGGAACGCTGATATAAACAAGTCCCTGGTTCTGTTGGAGCCGCAGACCTGGTCACATAAGCAAACCTTGAGAGATTTCCAGAATATTAAAAAGGATGGAGCTAATCTAATTTTGGGGGGAAGAATGTTCCATAAGGCAGGCACCACTGCAGAGAAGACATATTTCCTGGGACCCACCAAATGAAGGCCTTTAAGATAAAATAAATAAAAGCAGCAACATGCATTTTCATCCAGATGTAGTGGAGTGAACTGATGTTAACCAGGGAAGAGCTTCTTCCTCAGATAACCCAGACCCATCCTATGCAGAGCTTCAAAGATCAAAACCAGCACCTTGAATTGGACCTGAAAGCAAACTGGCAACTGACACAGCTCACAGAGCAGAGATGCAACATGCATTTTTCAATGGCCAGGCCGTTGCATTCTGTATCAACCAAAGCTTCTGGATACTAAGATGGATCTTGACAGACTAGAACACTGGGCCGTATCTAACGAAATGAAATTCAATGTAGAGAAAAGTAAAGTCGTACACTTAGGCAAGAAAAAGCAAAAGTACACATATAGACTGGGTGAAACCAGGCTCAATAGCAGTAACTGTGAGAGGGATCTTGGAGTCTTAGTGGACAACCAGCTAAATATGAGCCAGCAGTGTGCAGCCACCGCCAAAAAAGCTAATGCAATCCTAAGCTGTATTAACAGTGGGATACAATCAAGATCAAAGGAAGTACTAATACCACTCTATAAAGTCTTAGTAAGACCATACCTAGAGTACTACATCCAGTTTTGTTCACCACAATATAAAAAAGATGTTGAGACTCTAGAAAAAGTACAGAGAAGAGCAACCAGGATGATTAGGGGACTGGAGGCTAAAACATACAACGAACGGTTACAGGAACTGGGCTTGGCTAGTCTAGTAAAGAGAAGGATCAGGGGAGACATGATAGTGGTCTTCCAATATTTGAGGGGCTGCCACAGGGTCAAGCTATTTTCTAAAGCTCCTGTAGGCCAGACAAGGAATAATGGATGGAAACTAAAAAAGGAGAGACTTAACCTGGAAATAAGGAGAAACTTTCTGACAATGAGAACAATCAACCAATGGAACAGCTTGCCCTCAGAAGTTGTGGGAGCGCCATCACTTGAGACTTTCAAGAAGATTGGACTGCCATTTGTCAGAAATGATGTAGGGTCTCCCGCTTGGGTGGGGGGTTGGACTAGATGACCTACAAGGTCCCTTCCAACTCTGATTATCTGTTATCTGTTATACTCTTTTCAAGGGCAGCCCAACTTGTGTTTTATCTAAGTTCTGGTCTTTTATTAGAGTATTTTTTCATTCTATATTATGAATTGAAAGGTAAGCACTTCTGAAATGATTTGGTTACATCCACGTGACACAAATGCTGCATATATGAGATTGCGAAGTGTTGGTGGCTTATCTGATTGTGTGTATGATCAAGGTTTTAATTAGAACGTTAGCTTGTTTCATCTAAATAGGAAATGCTGTCTATGGATATTGTCCCCATATCCAGAAATACAAAATTGGAGTTCCTACAAGATGTATTACTGTATCACATGTCCTGCACCCACCAGACACTATCCCAAAACCTGAGACAACAGAAGCCATTGCAACAATTATCTATTTCTCTGAAATTTGCAAGCCTATTGACATAACAGCATTTTGAGGGACTTCTGGATGGCTATGAAGGATGAGACCAATCTCACTTGGGCTCTAATTAGCTGGAGTCTAATAATTTTTTGCAGATATTTCAAAGTAGCAAAATACAAGAACATCAGGTTTAGGGCCAACAAGCCATGCTGGCTGGGGAATTCTGGGAGTTGAAGTCCACAAGTCTTAAAGTTGCCAAGTTCGGAGACCCCTGCTTTAGCACCAATAGAGGGAATGAATGAAAGAAACCAATGTTGCAATAATTCCACTTCTACTGAGATATTCACATTCTGCCTCTCTATATCTGGGTTGTCTATTGTATAATTACTTTCACAGTATCACAAAGACTGCTCAATCTGGCACAAGTATATGAGAGAACTGACTTTGCAGAAATGTTCACAAACATTTTGCTTAAGGGAGCAAATGACTAATCCAGCTCACAATTAAGTACATGAAACCACACATCTCAATTTGCTTAAGGCTTAATATTCTTATATGTTGTGGCCATTATTCATGCTTAAAGCAGTTATATTTCACTCATTTAATATACTAAATAGGTTGCTTAAGTAGGTTATATATATCTACTTCCTCAAATTGTTTGGTTTATAGCCCATGCTTCCTTCAGGAGCATCAGTCAGTGCCTGTAACACTCCCTCCTCCAAGTATCTCCCACTATAATTACTTTGTACTTTGGGCTAGGGAGGTTCTATGGCTGAGGCTAGATCAAAATTAGGATCTCCCTTTTACCAGTCCACCTTAATTGATGCAATGTGTTTAAATATAGTTAGAAATGAAGAAGAGTCAATGGGTAACCAGAAGATTTCATTAGCTACTATCAGTCACAAATGCTCATTTTAGAGTAAGAGATTTGAGAGGGAGGAAAAATCAGAAAGCTAGTAGCACCTTTTCCATCCTACACATTTTATTGAAAGGAATATGTTTTATTAAGCTGCATCTCAGTTCATCAGATACAAAGAATGCTACCTGGTGTTATCATAAACTAACAGTGCTCCCCACCTACAACATGGGGAAGAGTGGGAATTATCTAGGCAGTTGGGACAAGACAGACTTGTTGAACTCAAGTCTACCAGTAAGCTTCCATGTATTAATGGACTTAAACCCGGATCTCCCTGATGGTTTTCTATCACCTTAATAACTATAGTATGTTTCATTCAAGCAGAGGTGGTATTCAGCAGACTCTGACCAGTTCTGGAGAACCAGTAGCGGAAATTTTGAGTAGTTTGCAGAACCGGCAAATGCCATCTTTGACTGGAGATTTTACAGTATCTTTCCCCTGCCATGCCCCCCAAGCCACGCCCACAGAACCGGTAGTAAAAAAATTTGAATCCTACCACTGCATTCAAGGCATTCTGTGTTTCAATATCTCAGGGGCTGCCACAAAAAAGAGGGAGTCAAACTATTCTCCAAAGCACCCAAAGGTAGGACAAGAAGCAATGGATGGAAACTAATCAAGGAGAGAAGCAATCTAAAACTAATGAGGAATTTCCTGACAGAACAATTAATCAGTGGAACAACTTGCCTCCAGAAGCTATGAATGCTCCCAACACTGGAAGTTTTTAAGAAGAGATTGGATAGCTATTTGTCTAAAATGTTATAGGGTTTCCTGCTTGAGCAGGGGGTTGGACTAGAAGACCTCCAAGGTCCCTTCCAACTCTGTTATTCTATTCTATTCTATCCTATCCTATCCTATGATTTGGTTTTTACATCACAGTAAAATATAATCAATGTAGCAAATAGATTCTTTAATGGGAATTATTACAACATATTACAATGCCAGGGACTCTGTGTGTGTGTGTGTGTGAGTGTGTGAGTGTGAGTGTGTGTGTGTGTGTGTGTGTGTGAGAGAGAGAGAGAGAGAGAGAGAGAGAGAGAGAGAGAGAGTAAGTAAGTAAAGAAAAATATTTTCCCTGTCCAGCCATCTCCAACTTTAGGGGGCAATGTGCCATGTAGCCAGAATGACTATACATTAGGATGCATGGAACAGCATTACCTTCCCAACAAAGTGGTACCTAGTTATCTACTGGCATTTGCATGCTTTTGAACTGCTAGGTGGGTAGGAGTTGTTAGGTGGGGAATAACAGGAGCTCACCCCATTCCAGCTGACAAGCTCAGCATCTTTAACTGCTAAGCCATCATGTTACACACACACACACACACACCTTAATATATATTTTACACTTCTGCAATAAATGTTAATGCTTATTAGGAAGTATATATTGCTAATGAATCAACAGTCACTAAAGAGCTATAAGAAGGAGGGAAATGTA